CCTAGTGCTGGACTTTTTATTATTTTCTTTGACTCCTAGCAAGCTCTTCTTTTTCACTCCTGATAAATCCATTCTCCCCTTCTGAGGTGTTCAAAGCAGCAATGGCGGCCTCACTTATCTGAACTCTCACTTCTAACTTGATTCTGAGAAACGATCCCTAATCGATTGCAATTTACGCCAAAGAGCAGCCTAATAACAAGATAAAAGGATTTAAAGAGTGAACAAATTGGCAAGGCAACAAATCTACTTTGCAGTAAAAAGGTGAGTACACAAGAAAGCAGCAGGGGAAAAAAGTAAGCAATGAGTGTCCACCCAGTCGGGAATCCACCGGGACTGTCATCTCCTCACAGAGGATTCTCTACCCCCACAGAGGACACAGTTTCATCACCTAGGCATCTTTTTCTTTAAAGGAAAAAAAAAAGGCAGTAGTCACACTCACCACTATTACTTTTTACAGGTTGCACACAGTTTTCAGTCACAAGGATGAGACTTCTACAGTTCAGTCAAAACACTACAGAACCATGTTCTCATGAAGAACAGAGAAAAACCTAACTTGACTATGGCTCTAAAAGTAGGATTAGATCTTGTTTTATTGCGGTAATTTCCTCTTAGGATACATTGGATAATATGACTAGAAGTTTGCTTCCCATTTCAAAAGCACTAGTACTAGTATCTAAACATTTAACACTCAAATGCAAATCGATGAAATGTCCCTATAGCAAATACTAAACTTTGGTTAATGATACACATAGGGATGTATAGGGGCAAGTACACAGAAGGCTGCAATTTACTTTGAAATGCAAGAAAAAGTAAAGATTGACGTGACAGGTGGCTAGATACACAATAAAGTAAGTAGAGCAGAACCATGACTTGCAGAAACTAGGTGATGTGGATATTAATTGTATGATTCTTTCAGACTTTGTGTGTGTACCGAAACACGTCATGTAAGGGTTTAAGCAAAATGCCTGGATACAGCAGGTGCCAAAAAAATGGCAGTAAGTTTCTACTCCAAAATAAACTACTGGCTAGGCTTGGTGGCTCATAGCTATAATCCCAAGAGTTTAAGGTTACAATGAGCTATCCATGGTTGTGCCACTGCACTCCAGCCTGAACCCCCTCTAAAAAACCCCATAAACTGGGTGGTGCCTGTGGCTCAAAGGAGTAAAGCACCGGCCCCATATGCTGGAGGTGGCGGGTTCAAACCCAGCCGCGGCCAAAAACTGTAAACAAACAACCCACCCCTCCCATAAACTGCTATATCATTATATACCCTGTATAAAGCTGCCTTCAGTATTTTTAGGCAGGTTTTGTACAATCTTCCTGATTTGTAAGGAAAGATCTCAGGTCTTAGCTACTTTTGTCTCACCTTGTTCAATAGCCTATAAACAAGGACACAGCATACTGAAGGGGTCCTGGTTCCACATGTGTGGAAGTACACATACCAGGAGTGCTTCAAGACGTTGCTGAATACACACTTTTTTGTTGTTGTAGTTGTCACTGTTGTTTGGCAGGCCCGGTCTGGCTTCGGGGTGGGTTCGAATCCACCAGCCCCGGTGTAGTGGCTGGCGCCCTAACCACTGAGCTACGGGCACCAAGGCCTGAGTACACATTTAAACCCAGCTTTGGTCAAATGGGAGTGAAAGAGGGCAGAATATTACCTTTGCTAATCTTTCCCAGGGCTGTAAAGTCTTTTCAAAATGCTTTTCCTTAAAACAGCGAAATTCTAGTCATACCCAGCAGGCAGTACCTGATCAAGTTAGTGTCCTGGACAATAAGTGAATGTTAATTCAGAGGTTAAGAGTCTGGAGTCAGCATGCCTGATTTGGTTTGAGGTTTTGCTGTGTTATCTTGGATAGTCTTTTCAAGGTTTCTCATTGGCATACAGTTCCCACTTTATAGTCATCAGGGGTATAAATTAAGTTTAACCCACAAAAGAAACAGGTCACTCAGGTAAGGTTCAATAAATGTTAGCTAATGTTAGAAAAAGGGTTGTTACTCCATGTCTGGAGGCTCCATCCCCATATACAACAAGCTTGTCTCCAAAGTCACACCACTTCTGAATGCTCAAGAGGGGTTTCCTCGACACCCCCTCCTTTAGGATCACCTGGAGCAGCACCATCCAATAGAAATGGAGTGAGCCACAGCATAACCTAAAGTCTAGTAGTAGGCATGTCATAAAAATAGGTGAAATTAGTTTTTAATATTTGACACACTATATCCAAAATATCTTCCAACATATCACTTTTAAAATTTACTAGTAACGATTTACCTTTTCTCATAGCAAAAAAAGTATTTTAAATTTAGTATGTATCATTTTAACATCTCAAATTAGCTGTACTTCGAAGTTTTGCCCTGGCATCACAGCTCACAGCAACTTCAAACTCTTGGGCTCAAGCAATCCTCTTTCCTCAGCCTCCGAGTAGCTAGGACTAAAAGGCACACGCCACAACACCCGGCTAGTTTTAGAGACGGGGTCTTGCTCAGGATGGTCTCGAACCCACGAGCTCAGGAAATCCACTTGCCTCGGCCTCCGAGAGTGGTAGTATTACAGGCCTGAGCCACCACAGCCAGCCAAGTTAGCTGTATTTCAAATATTCAATAGCCACATGTGGCCAAAGGTTACTTTACTGGACAGCACAGACCTAGAATGGAGGTCTCACACACAGATTCCAGCGTTCTCCTCCACCCCTACCTCGATCTGCCCTAATATACTTTATGTATGAAGCACCATTGGTTATTTTTAAGCACTCTAAAAATTAAAAACCACAGAGTAAATGAACGGTTTGCTGGGTGTGGTCGAGTGCTAGAAAGCAAAGGTTGAGGTTCTGTGTTCACACAAATCAGGTAACAGCTCAGGACACGATTACCTCCCCCATCCTCCGGAAAGGTGCGCGTCCAACAGAGAGAAAGAGAACAATTAGTTAATCTCGAGCAGAAGGATTTTCTGCACAAATCTTCAGAGCACCTTCCCCATTTAAAAGTAGCTTTCAGGCATAATTCATGCAATATTAAGACAGAAAAAGCCTACTCCACGACTCGCCTCCATCGATATTAACCTTCCCGTATCCACCCTTCTGGGGTACCCCGTCAAACTGAGCTCAGTCACCGCGCTCGGTCCACACTGGGTAGTACCCCTAAGGCCTAACGCCGAGGACAGCAAAAGGGACTGTGAACGTCCGAGGGACTATTTGAATTAATGATTCCGAAGGGAAGATCGGCCTTCCACAAGAAAACTGCTCCCGCCGGCACAGGACCAACGCA